GTCCATGGTTTAACAAATAAACAAGGAAATATAATGGCAAGAGAACTACAAATGAAAAATTTATGAAACTCATCAACCAATTCCAATGTATAAACTTTACTTGGATCCTAATTTAAACAAAACTTAGATGTTGATTGAGATGTTAATCTTCAGACACTGAAATTTTAACACTGACTGGTGGGCCATAGGATGATAGAAAGGAACTGCCGCTGTTATTTTAGGTGCAGTAACAGTTGTACATTATGGCTTTAAAATCTTTATCTTTTTAGAGATCTATACTGAAATTCTTACAGTAAAGAAATATGTTTACGATTTGCTTCAAAATAATCCAGTGGAGGTGGGCATATGATGAAACGAGTCTTAATAGTTGATAAATGTCAAAGCAAGAATAATACATACATGGAGGTTCATTTCCCATAATAAAAAAAACAAAAAAATTATGGTACAACCACTGGTTTGTTTATTATCCTCTCTAAAATTATCATTAAGACAGTTTAGCAACGTGAATGCTTACTATAGAATGCTAAAAGAAATAAATGCATTTAGGTCAAAATTTCAAAAGCCTAGGTTAAGGAAGAAAAGGGAGTAAGAAAACCAAACTGAATTTGTGGGTTAGTTGATTATTTTTATCTGCTAGTATTAGATTACTGTCATTACATATTGCTAATGAATTCAGGAGTAGGCAGGTAACTCAAACTACCTAAGAGAGCTGGGTATAAAACAACAGTGGAGGAGCCTAGAATAAACTAAAAAATGGGGGCGCCTGTGTGGCTCAGGTCATGATCTCAGGGTCCTGGGATCCAGCCCCACATCAGGCTCCCAGCTCAGTAGGGAGTCTGCTTCTTCCTCTCCCTGTGCTCGCTCTCAAGTAAATAAATAACATCTTAAAAAAAAATTTTTTTAAATAAAAGAATGCCTTAAAGGGTTTTCAGTTTCAAATAAATCCTATAAAACCAGTTTTTAATCAGATATTCAAGTATCTTCATTTTTAGGGTGACCATGTCATTTGTATAGTAGCCAAAGCAAGCTACTTTGAAGACGTGAGTTCAAACTGGGATGGTACAGAAAAGCCAGACCACCTGGTCACCCTATTCACTTTATATATACATAAACTGAGGCATTAAGTTTTTTTGCTTGTTTGGGTTGGTGAACTGCCTAAAGTCAAAATGAATATGCCTCATAAGACCTAGAGAGACTGGAGCCCAAAGAGGCATGGAGATGTGCCCGAAGTCAGTGTTAACTGGAGAGCCTGGCACCAGAAGTCAGACCCCAACTACCCTGACACTCTGTCCAGATCGATCTACTACTTAGAAAGTGGTACTACCACCTTTTTAATCCCCTGTCCTCTTCCTTTTCTCCACGAAAAGATTCTCCTCAAAAATGCGTTCTTCAATCAAATAACTAAGAATAAGGCAAAAAATAATACAATGGCAGGAAGGTGAATGGCAAATGCGGAAAGAATCTGCTTGGCTCCAACACTAATACCCTTTGTATTATCCCATACAGCTACTGAAATCAGGACAGGCACTAAATTGCAGAAATATGCAATTCTTTACTGTTTGAAAGAAAATTTGCCAGCCCAGCCTTCTAAAATAAAAGTAGAAAAAGTAGGGACACCTGGGTGGCTCAGTTGGTTAAGCGACTGCCTTCGTTCGGCTCAGGTCATGATCCTGGAGTCCCGGGATCGAGTCCTGCATCGGGCTCCCTGCTCAGCGGGGAGTCTGCTTCTCCCTCTGACCCTCCCCCCTCTCATGCTCGCTCTCTCTCATTCTCTCTCAAATAAATAAAATCTTTAAAAAAAAAAAAAAGTAGAAAAAGTATAAGCCTTAGAATCAGATCAACCTACATTTGACTCCTTACTTTGCCATTTATAAGCTCAATAACTGGCCGAATTAAATGAATCTCAATTTCCTATAGAAATGAAAAATACCACCAGGGTTATAAAGACTAAAGCAAGTGGTACAATGCCTAGTACATAATGGGAAGCTCTTGTACTTTTACCCAAAGGTTTCATTAAATGGCCAATTTTAAAGAAGCTGTTTACTGGGGCACCTGGGTGGCTCAGTCGTTGAGCGTCTGCCTTAGGCTCAGGTCATGATCCCAGAGTCCTGGGATCGAGCCCCACATCGGGCTCCCTGCTCAGCGGGAAGCCTGCTTCTCCCTTTGCCACTCCCCCTGCTTGTGTTCCCTCTCTCCCTGTCTCTCTGTCAAATAAAATCTTTAAAAAATAAAAAAAAATAAAGCAGCTGATTACTATAATCATGGTCATGGTAGAATCTATAAAGAGGATCTCCTGGATCATCATTTAACCCCCAAACTGTGCATCAAGTATGCAATCAAGGTAAAGGGCACATTACAATATATAGGCAGATCCGTTTTTCCAAACTATAGCATGAAAAAGTGATACCCAACTAGTCAATCGTTAGTCCAGTAATAATTCAAGTGCTAAATTTTAAAAAAACACTGGTATTTCTTCACCAATTCCACAATGGTTACCTCCTAAATATAAGCTTCCAGAGGCAATGACTGTAACTCATGGCATTCAAAAAACTAGAAGGGTGCCTTACACACAGATATGCTCAATAAATATTGTTGAATGAAAAGTTGGTATGGTTTCCTTAACGAACATTTATAAGGAGAGAGACCTTTAACTTCAAAACATTAAAATGCAGGGCACCTGGGTGGCTCGGTTAAAATGTCTGCCTTTGGCTCAGGTCATGATCCCAGGGTTCTGGGACTGAGCCCCGCATCAGGCTCCCTGCTTAGAGGGAAGCCTGCTTCTCCCTCTCTCACTCCCCCCGCTTGTGTTCCCTCTCTTGCTGTCTCTCTCTGTCAAATAAATAAATAAAATCTTTAAAAAAAAATGCAGAAGGTTCATAATAAAAATAGCTCCCTCCAACCAAAGAAATTGTTGTCTATAAGCAGCGTTAGCAAAGAACAAAACTCAAAAAATAAATTGCAATTTTTTATCAAAGAAAATTTTAAAAAAATGAGCACCTCAACAGAGGAAAGAACTATCCATTCCATTTCCAGGAACAACTTACCTTTTTGCACCTTCCTTTTGCAGATTTGAAATCCAGATTCTCACAATCACTGGCCTTCACTTCTGTTTGATTCAATAGCATACACACTGAGTCTCTCCTTCACTATTAAATACATCAGTAGAAAGCACACTGGTCTTACCTGCTAACTATGAAAACAGAAGTGCAAAGGTCCTAATCCAAAATTCTCAAAAAAGAAAAACTAAAAAATTGCTGAGGTTAAACAATGTACAGAAGCAATTATAGGGGCAGCCGGCTGACTCTGTCGGTTAACAAAAGGACTCTTCGGTTTTGGCTCAGGATCTCATGGGTCCCGAGATGGAGTCAGTGTAGGGCTCCACGCTCAGCTGGGAGTCTCCTGAAGATTCTCTCCCTCTGACCCTCTCCCCCCTTCATGCTTGCTCTTAAAAAAAAAAAAAAAAGTGGAGCGCCTGGATGGCTCAGCCAGTTAAGCATCCACTCTTGGTTTCGGCTCAAGTCCTGATCTCATGGGTCCTGAGATCAAGCCCGGTTAGGGGGATGGAGGGACATCCCCAATAGGGAATAGTCTCCTTGGATATTCTTCTCTCCCTCTGACCCTTCACCCACTCCTGCTCTCCCTCAAATAAAGAAATAAAATCTTAAAAAAAAAAAAAAAATTATAAAGGCTCCCATCTTCCCCCCTGCCCAAACACCCTACTTCAACATGTATTTTTTTATTTTTTCACATTTCTACTGCCCTGTAACTGCCTTCCATATGTATTTAAAAAAATTTTCCCCCCAAAATGGAAAAACGACACTGGTGTCTTTATGCGAGTACAAGGAGTTAAAAATACAACATACTGGGCGTCTGGGTGGCTCAGTGCTTAAGCATCTGCCTTCAGCTCAGGTCATGATCTCAGGGTGCTGGGATCAATCCCCAGGGCTCCCTGCTCAAGAGGGGAGTCTGCTTGTCCTTCTGCCCCTCTCCCTGCTCATGCTTGTGTTCTCAATCTCCCTCTCTCAAATAAAAAAATATTAAAAATAAAACATATTAAAGTAAGCCATTTCCAAACAGGTGAGATACCCATCAGAGTGTGTGCTGTTGCAGGAAACAGAATGGAGAGCCGTGAATGGGAGTCTCTGCACTTCATATCTGCAAAAGAAGAGAATAAAAAGGTTAACTTAACTCTAGACTTAGAATACCTTCTTTACCTGTTTAAAGCAATGCCCGCAAACATTTTAAATCAAAGATGAAAATGTGTTACGCCAAAGGCTTGTGCGTGAATTCCACCTTCTTGCCTTTAATACATAAACTGTATCTACAGTATTAGAAATCAATATTTGAACATTTCTATATCACATCATCCCGATACTAAAGGGTAAAAGAAAAAAATTCTCTCTCTTCTTTAGGCTTTTAACTATCATTTTAATTAGCCAAATGTGCTTCCCTACCGCACAGTTAGTAAGGGTAATTAGTTCTAACAGGAACAGTCAAGAGGTTCATTTCTAACAAATACTCTTCCCCCTATAAGGAGTGACGGTTAACCTTTTGGGAACCCCAATGCACACACCCCTTTCTCCAACCTCGTTAAAGGTGAATGTAAGAAAAAAAGTGCCTCACGAGCAATGTCCCCCGCCCAGCACCAGGTTCTCTGCAAAACTCCTTCTGCATTTCGCATTAACCCACCAGCCCCCAGAGTGGGTGCGCCAGGGCCAGGTCGCGGAGAGAGCCCGGGGGGTGAGGGGTGAGGTCCACAAGCCCGTCAGGCACCCGCGCCCCCCACCTGGTAACACACCTGCCCTCACAGGCGCCCACCTGGGGCGGGGACCGCCCTTTCCCGGCCCAGCGCGCCTGCCCCACTCGGAGCGCGCGCCCCGCCCCGCACGGGACCCCAGGGCGTGCAGGCGGCGGGAGCCCGGGGTGCAGGGGCCGTCCTGGCTCGCTCCCTCCCTGGGGACCAAGCGGGCCCGGGGGCGTCCTGGGGGCGGGCGCGGTACCTTTTGGACAGATCCATAAGGACGCCGGAGAAGAGCTTCTCCCCTAGACGGAACGACACGACGAGCGCGTCCTCAATGATGTGGTCCAGCGTGACCCGCACCTCCGAGCCGGGAATCAGCTGCGACACCGCGGAGTCCCCGCCCGCCGGCGGCACGAGCGCCGGGGCTGCGGGCTGGGGCAGCGGCGGTTCCTGGCGCTCCTCGGGAGCTGGGGGCTGCTCGGGCGGTGGTGCAGGGGAAGGTGGAAGGTCGGGTGTTTCCTGAGGCGCGGCTGCCGCCGGCTCCGGTACCCGGACGGGCAGCTTCTCCTCAGCCTCCAGTTCCGGCCCCGCCGCCTCCGGGCTGCGGGCGAGCTCCCCCGGCGGCGGCGGTGGCGGCGGGAGCGGCGGCTCGTCGGCCTGAGGAGAAGACTGCTGCCCGTCGGGCTCGCCGTCCGGCACAGATGCTTCCGTCGCCGTGACCGGGAGGGGGTCAGTGCCGGCCTCGCTGCCGGGGATGGGCTCCATCTCCGGCTCGGCCTCGCCGGCGCCCCCCTCCCCGGGGGACGCTGCAGTCGCTGCCGCCTCTGCAGCCACGGCCGCCATTTTCTTCCTGGCTTCTCCCTCCTCCAGCTCGGGGTGCAGCGGCGGCGGCAGCGCTGCTTGGTTCCCTGGGCCTTCCCCTCCCTCCCTTGAACAGTTTCGTCCCGCCCTTTCCCTGATGCTCGCTATTGGCACCGCGCCATTGGCTCCGTCCTATACCCCTCCCGCACTCGTGACACTCCATAGGCTAGGTGGGGTCGTCTATCACCCAGTCAGTCCCTCCCCCCCATACAGAGTAGGAACTTCTCATTGGCCGGATGAATTGTCAAATGTTAAATCTTAGAGGAGGAGTGAGGGGACGGGGGAAGTCACAAAAGCTGAGCCATATACTTATCGCCTCTTTCTATTGGCTGGAAGAGGAAATAAAGTTTTATGGTTGGCCTTGGCTCTTGCCCATTATTAGTCAGGCTTTCAGAGGTGGGCATAAAGGAGAGAATCACGTGGCGTGCCAGGTCTTTCAAAGGCGACCGAGGGGAGGAGTAACAAGAGAATGCGGGGGGGGGGGGGGAGCGGCTTCCCAAGAATCCCTGCGCGGAGGTCCTTAGAATAAATGTTATTTCTAGGCGCGGACCTGCTTGTGGCTGTGTGTGGGTACGGCAAGCTTCTTTGAGAAGGCCAACTAAAGTTTGAAAATAATTCTAGACACATGTTTTGAGCTTCTACTAGGCTAGGCCCCGTGCTAGGTGTTGGGGATAGAATGATGTGTAAGACATTCTCCAAAACCTCGTGACAGACACTCCAGCCCCCACACAACGAGTGTTTTCCTTGACTTCTCTCCACTTTCTAGGAACAATGAACTTACTTATTTCAAAGTAGGAAAATGCTAATGAAAAGAGGAGGGACACCATGCATACTGTATTAAGCTGATGAACGTCCCAGAGAGCAGTCCTGAGGCATTGGGGGACTTACATGTGAATATTGTTTGCTCTCTCCAAATTGACTGGAAAAGTGGACGCACCTGGTTCCTTGCTTAAGCGCTTTCCTTTCCTGGCCTCTTCTATGCCACAGGTTCAAAAAGTCTCTCTTCAATGTCCTAATGCTCCTACTTCCCTTCCCACTTTAAGTCTCTGGATTTGTTATGTCCAGAAGAATCTACTGAACCCATTTATTTCAGATTGCACCTCAGAATCAGCCTATTCTCCAGAAGAGATTATAAGAACTGAGAATGCCGACAAGAGGGGAGAAAAGTTGACAGCGTTAAGGGGAGTAAAAAATGAAATTCTAAATAATTATAGCTAACATTTATTGAGCACCTTCTGTGTATGAGGGCCTAGTACAAACAGTATAGGATCTCACTTAATCCTTACACTACTCCTATGAGACAGGTAATATTATTATACCCATCTTACAGATAAAGAAACTGAAGCACAAAGACAGTGCCCAAGGTCTGTCAGCTAATAAATTTCAGAGACAGAATTTCAGGTTTACCTTGAAAGGACTGAAAATGGCAAAAACTAAGTATCGCCATATGTTCTATTTCAAGCCCTGGGGCTCTTGGGAAAAGCCAGTAGGGAACCTAGTCAGTGCAGGTTTAGCATCTCCAAAGTAGCAGAAGGATATGAAATTACTGAGTGTCAATTCTGTCAGGAATTTTCCCATAAGCTCCCATTTAAAATCCGGTGAGTTAAGTCTTCTCCTTCTTTTCCAGATGAGAAAACTGACCCTTAGCCAGGTTAAAGATCTTCTCAGAGGTCACACAGCTAGCAGCAGGTCCTATCTAACCCAACTCTGCCAAGTGCGTGACTATTCCACTCACTCATTCATTGAACAAATAATTTATCTCCTACAGGCCAGATGCCTGCAGTAAACAGACACAGTTCTCACCTTACAGGACTTTTACCATGATCACCCGGTCTATAATTCACCATAGTCAATTAATTAAATATTACATATAGTCCTATGAAACTACTAGAGCCATGATGAGTTCCCACACTGTATAATCTCTCAGAAGGGAAAAAATATAGTTCGGGTCCTGGGACCTGATTAACTCTTGCAGTAATTCATTGCAAGACACTGAAGTGAATCACTTAAATTAAGGATTTATGGCAGATTGTGGCGTGCCAAGTCCTCCTTCTTAATCACCATTTTCATCCTGCAACTGAAGAGCCTCTACTGGGTCACTATGTTCACATCAAGTATAACCCCTTCTGCTTGTCTTTCAAGGCCCTCTCCATTCCTCCTCTGTCTTTCAGGTTTGTTTTCTACTATTCTTCAAGCTTGCTAATGTTGGGAAGATCTGGTCATGCATCTCTCATCCATTTATTCATCAAATAAATGTTGAAGGCCTACTATGTGTCAGTTACTGGCTAGCCAGGCCAAAGGCATGCAGAAAGAACATGGGAAACTTAGTGGCTGGCTTCCTGGAGCTTATTTTTCTAATTAGGGAGTTAGAAAACAAGCAATGAATAAATAAGATGATTACAGATTGTGAGAAATGCCATAAAGGAAATAAACAGGATGAGGTGATAAGCAGTTGTTGCTAACAGAGGGGCAGAGTGTCTTCTTTAGATAAGGTGGTAAGAAAAGGTCCCTCTGAGGATAAGACATTTTAGCTAAAATACAAAGAATATGAAGGAGCCAGTTATTCACACTGTTGGATGAACATTTGGGTCAAAAGGAACAGCAATTACTAAGCTCCTGAGGCAAAAGAGGGCTTAGCTTATTCCAGAAACAGAAAGAGACCAGTGTGGTTGAAGAGGAATGAGCAAGAAGATAGGTAGGTGAGATAAGGTTGGAAAGGAAGACAGGAGCCAAATCATATTTTATGTAATGCAGATATAAAAACAAGAGATTCTACCCTCAGGGAGTTTCAAGTTTAGTGGGAACCTACCTTTTACATGTGCTGTTATATCCTAGTCACCCCTGCATTCAGCCTCTTCCTGGCATAGAATCAGCATAGAAGAAGCCCTTGGTATTTGTGGAATGGATAACCACATGGGACTAGATGGATGATTAGATGAATGGATGGAGGTTTGGATAGATGTTTGGAAGGCTGGATGGTGTCTTAGTCCAGTCAGTTGGCTAGAACAAAATACCACAGGCTGGCTATTATAAACAACAGAACAGGCTTAAAAACAATTGACAGGTATTTCTTACAGTTCTGGGGTCTGGAAGTACAAGATCAGGGTGCCACCATAGTCTGGGTGAAGGCCCTCTTCCAGGTTGCAGACTTTTGGAATACTCACATGGCAGGAGGGGACAAGGGAGCTCTCCTCTGCCTCTTATAGAAGGACATTAATCTCATTCATGAGGACCCCACCTTCATGATCTAATCACCATCCAAAGACCCCTATCTCTTAGTATCATCACTTTAAGGATTTAGGATTTCAACATATTTTGGAGGTACACAAACATTCAGACCATAGCAGATGGATAATTGGTTGATTGGACAGATCATTGAATGGATGGACAGATGGGTGCATAGATAAATGGCAGTGATAAAGAATACAACTAACTAGTGGATTTAGTGGATCCTCACTGTCACAAGCGGACTTTGAACTTGAGCTCTGTGGAGTACTATAGTTTTGTGGCTAGAAACTCAGACTGGAAGTGAATAAACCTGTATGTGACTCCCCAGTTGGCCTCTGACTAGCAATGTGATCTGGGCATGATCTTAGGCTAGTTGGTTAATCTCTGCTTCCTCATTTATAAAATATCCTAATAATAACTATGTAAGGGTATGTTTGTTTTTAAGTTATATAAATATATATTGTGCTTAACATAGAACCTAAATCATAGTAAGCACATCTCTATCACTGTTAGCAACTAGATCTAGAAATTCAGTTTTTTTTTCTAAGTTTTATTTCTTTTCTTTAGTTATCTCTACACTCAATGTGGGGCTCGATCTCATAACCCTGAGATCAAGAGACGCAGGATCTTCTGACTGAGCCAGCCAGGCATCCCTAGAAATTCAGTCTTATTACATCTGGTGTTGATAAACATTTCAGGGGCTCTGACTCCCAATACCAACCTTATGAAAGACTAAATAAAACCCAAACACTGGGGTGTTGGTTCATGGAGAGGTTTAAATATGGCTAATTGTGGTTATTTTTTCTGGGCCTGGTCTCTCAGGAAATCAAATTTATAGACAAAAAATAGCATGGGGAGCAGAGACTCAGGGCAAAAGGAACTAACTCATAGCACATGGATGCAAAGCCATGGTGGCTAAATGAATTGTTCCTCCTGTTCTAGGACTTTTTCTGTCCAGTAACCAATATTTCTCTTCTAAAATCAGATCGCCTACTCTCAGATCAAGACTATGATGGATAACTACTGACAAACATGTCAATCATTGGCTCTCCCTCCATGTGTCTCAGGGGTTCTCCAGGTAAGAAGGGATCTGAGTATCTGTTAGAAGGTATTTTACATATTGTGTGATCGCATTTACATAAAGCACCAAAATAAGCAAAATAAATTTATAATGTTAGAAGTCAGGATAGAGGTTATTCTAGACCAGGGAAGAGGGACATTTCAGCTAATGACTAAAAGGGAATATGAGTGAGGTTTTCTAAGATTCTGATAATTTTCTATTTCTTCATCTACCTATTGGTTACACAGGTATGTTCAGCTTATAAAATTTCATCAAGCCATGCACTTATTTGTGATTTTCCATATATAGATTTATTAGTTATCAATTACTGCAAGTGTCTGAAACATCATACATTTATCACAGTGTCTGTGGGCAGAAATTCAGGCATACCTTAGCTGGATCCTTTGTTTAGGTTCTCTCTCAAAACTGTAATCAACATGCCAGCAGGGGCTGCAGTCTCACCTGAAAGCTTGACTAGGGAAGGGCCCACTTCCAAGCTCACTCACATGATTCTTGGCAGGATTCAGTTCCTCAGTTGCTGTTAGCCAGAGGCTGCCTGCCCTCACCTCTTTGCCACATGGGCTTCTCCATAAACCAGTTCATGATTTATAGCTTGCTTCATCAAAGCAAACATACATGAAAAGTCAGAGAGAAATGGAGCAAGCAAGAGAGAAATCAGTCTTTTATATCCTAATCTCAGAATAGGCATCTCATCACTTGTGCTATGTTCTATTCAGAAGTAAGTC